AAATTCAAAATTCAAATTCAAAATTCAAATTCAAAATTCAAATTCAAAATTCCCAAATTTCACATTTCAACTTTCCGAATTTTAAATTTCAATTTCCCGAATTTCAAATTTCAATTTCCCGAATTTCAAATTTCAAATTTCAAATCATATCGGGAAGTTATACATAGGCTCCTTTTAGGAGCGAATGCATCAAATTTCATATTTTAAATTTCAACTTCCCGAATTTTTGTTTTGTTTTTATCAACTTCCCAATTTATCGGAGAAGTTATTGTAATCATCCAAAAAAATGAAATAATTAAAATGTCAAATTTCATGAAATCTTTACGTTTAATGACTAATAGTAGTATTCTAGACAGTTTTTGAAAAAATGTCCGTGTGTGTGTCTATGTATGTGGAATTTTCTGTCGTTCACAGTTTTTCTTGAACGGCTGCTGCGATTTGGATGAATGAGGTCTCGAATGAGAGGTCTTTAGGTGATCTGGAGCTGATTAGTTTTTGGGATCATTTCCCCACCCGCTTCCAAGATATACGCGAAAATCTTCGAAAAATTTTCGCTCAAAAAACGTTTTTTTGCGAATATCTCGAAAACTAATCGATACGTCAAATTTTCTAAAGGCACTTTTACTGGGCATTTTTTGAGCTCTACAAAAAAGGTTTGTTTGAAACGCAACCCAACCTCTCCAAGACCAAGGTCGACAAGCTCGGCCAATTACGAAAATCATCGGTCTTTTCCGGGTCAACGCTCAGGTCTAGTAGAGTCACCGTAAATCAACGCGAGTCAGTATAAAACGTTCGGCCAAGTAGTCAGTTTTTGATTAGATTTCAACTCCGTATTTGAGTAACGCGCAGAGTGTAGACATTCAGTACATTAACGTCTATTAGCTCGGCGATAAAAACTCATTAAAAAGAAAATCACGTCATTTATTAGCCATTTAACCAGTGACTCAACAGTGTAAAAACTATAAACAATTAAACCAACTCAGTACGATTAACTAGTGACAAGGTGTTTTATAAATTTGACAAAGCGTGGTTTGAACGCGAGAATAAATTAACGTTCATATTAGGTCAAGACTCTCAACAGTTATTTCACACTGACGATCCTCTAACCTCCCAATCCACCCTAAACTTAGTTCCTCACCAAACAAGGTTCTTATGAAAATTCTCGTAGATGCTCTACTTTTCGAGATATTGATACCCGTTTTTTTTCGAAAAAATCAGTTTTTTGGCAATATCTTAAAATCTAGGCACCACATCAAAATATTTGATTGGACTTTTTGATAGGTCTTCTCGAGCTCTGTAAAAAAAGTCTTTAGGAAAATTCTTGTAGGTCCTTCAGTTTTGAAGATATTTGCAGAATCTTCTTTTCAAAAATCCGTTTTTTGAGAATACCTGCATAACGCGTCGATACATCAAAATATTTCATTATTTCAAGTTAGAAGGAAATCGGGAAGTTGAATGGGTGACCCGTGAAGGGTCACATGAGTTAAATATACAAATTTCGGATTAGAGATGCCCGCGCCAGATTTTTTATTTATTTATTCATTTTAATATACTTGTCAGAGGCCTAGCGGCCTAATACAAGGGTTTACAGATAATGTATGGTAACAAGCACTGCTGTACGTTATTTTATTGGCAAAGTTAAAAATTTTAAGTTTTTCAAACGTTCTTGAAATTTTTCGATGGNTGTGATATCGTCTTGGAGTCTTCGGGCTCTCATGGCTTCTACTAATCTGGGAATTGTTTCCTTTTTGAAGGACTCTTCGCTGGGGGAAAAGTCTTCTGGGGTTCCAAATGGTGCCAGCCAGGTTAGAAGGCTGGTGTACCAATTCCGGGATAAGTCATTCTGCGCTGAGTCGTGTAGGTTCTTCAGTAGCATGAGACTTCGCTTTAGGTATCGGATATCATCCATTGCTTCAATTTTACCCCAAAGTTTCAAGGCTCTCTGTAGTACTTTGGATTCCAGATGATTTGCTCCGGTTTCCATCCTCAGCAGGTAACCAGGTGTGCTCCATGGGAGGATTAGGATAGATTTAAGAAAAAACCTCTGGAGTTGATCTATGTCATCGATGTGTTCAATCCCCCCGACAGATGAGCAGTAGAGTACGGTTGGTACAGCTACAGCATTGAACAGATTCATCTTCTGGCGCTAGCTAGTCATTTTCGTGGTGGCCATCGTTGTCCAAATTCAACTGTTTACTAATTTCGCTCTTGTGGTGAAGTGATCTAGTGCGTGGTTGAAGAAGCCGCTTGGGGTGAATGGAACTCCCAGGTATACGTATTTTTTGACTATTTCGAGTGACAGCCCTCGGTATCTCAGGGTGCGTAGCTTCGGTGGTCGTCCTCCTTTACTAAATATCATGACTTTAGTCTTCTCCGTGTTCAGTGTCATTTTGTTTAACTCGTCGTATTCAGCGAGAGTGTTCAGCTTATACTGCATGTCGACTATGTCATCTGATAACAGGAGTCCGTCGTCGGCGAATAGGAGTAGTTCCATCTTCTTTTCCACGTTTATGTGCTCTCTGCTTCTGAAGAAAGTTGCCATGTCGTGAAGTAGGAGAATGAACAGTATCGGGCTGAGAGGGTCTCCTTGGAGAACGCCTTGTGTAATGCTGCTACTTTTAGTTTTCTCATCACTGCTAATTCGTACCCCAGTTTTTGCATTGCCGTAGAAATTGCTAAGTACCTTAATGAGGCGAGTGCTCACGCCCGCATAGTCGAGCTGCTGCCAGAGTACTTGGTGATCTACTTCATCGAAGGCGCGTTTGTAGTCCACAAATGTGGCGAGTAGTCTTCTCCGTTTTACTGAGGGCCACTGAGACTTTAGCGTTAAGTGTGAAGACGTTGTCTTTGCAGCTTCTCTTTCGGCGGAAACCTGACTGCCCTTCGGGAAGAATGCCGTGGTTTTCGCTCCAGGTGTTCAGTCTGGCTGCGAAGACCGACTTAAAAATTTTTGGCAGCGTGTTTGCAAGGGCGATCCCACGGTAGTTGTTTGGATCACCTTTATCTCCTTTTTTTTGTGAAACATAACTCTTTCTGAGTTGGACCATCCAGGGGGGATTTCTCTTTTAGAGAATACCCGGTTGAATAGCTCCGTCACTGCTTCGATCATGTTAGGTATGAGATGTTTATAGAAGTTGTTTTCTATACCATCTGGCACTGGGCTTTTGCCGGCTTTCAGGTTCTTCAATACCTGCGTAATTTCTTGGCAGGATATATAGCTATCGAGCTCGACGACGTCCTGGCTTGCTAAATTCACGTCAGCCATAGGTGTTATAAGGTTGTTGGTAGTATAGAATTCCTCCCAGGTTTTGGCAGTAGTTGGACACTGCGTGAAAGGTTTCCTACGGAATTTACCTATTATCTTCCAGAATGTTTTCGTGTCGTTAGCTCTGAGAAGGTCGTCCTGAAGTCGTTTCAAGAAGTCTTTTTTTTTCTTTTTGACAGTTTTTATGCACAATTCACGTGTGCTTTTATATTCAGTTAGCGCGTCGTCCGTATGTGCTCTGCAGAGCTGCCGGTGCTCTGCGTTCAATTTCTTGCGCAGCAGTCGACAGTCGTTGTCATACCAGGGTTTGTCGTTTCTTTCGAACGTTTTGAGCTGCTTTAACAATGGTGCTAGCTAGAGTTGCGTCGAGCTCGGTGATCGTGGCGTCGGACGGTATTTGGAGGGTGGCGTTTTGTAGCTCGGCTTGGTATATATTTGCCTGTTGAGGATCCCATTTGGTGATTTTTTGCTTGATAGTTCGTCTGCTAGTTTTCTCTCTATACCCCCTCTCAGGGGTCAGTGGAGTTTCAATCGAGGAGAACTTGGATCGGCAGATGGTTTGAAAGACCTGCGCTAAGAATTTTAAAATCGACCACGATTTTCAAGGCTATTTGGTTTACCCAAGCGTAATCCCATGGTGCTGCTGCCCAGTGCTCCGTCGAAGGTTAATAAACCATGGGAGTCTGACCTTGAGCGCCCGTTTAGCGTTATCAGTCCTAATGATTCAAAAGCCTCAGTCAGCATTCTACCGTTCGCGTCTTCTTTATGATTTGCTCTCCTTCTAGCGTACAGTTGTGTTCCTTCAGTTATTTCGTCGTCGATTTGATTGAGTAGGCTTATCCGGCCATTCATGTTTCCGCCAACAATAAGTGGAGAGTCGCTGTAATTTTCTACAATGTCTTGGAGGAATTCTTGTAGTGCTGAAATCCTCTCGTCATAGAACCTACGGTCTATATATAAGCTCACAATTATTATTGCAGTGTTATGGATAGTTAGCTTGATTGCATGCCAAGTACTATTATTGTCAATAAGCTCTGCTTGCTGTGCAAGGGCTGGGTTGATCATTATTGCACGTCCCCCTGAGCCTCTTCCTCTATCTTTCTCTTTGGTTGCGAGGACTTCGATTGTCCTTATGTCCTTTAGTTGTTGCAGGAGATTGCTGATGGGGCTTAGAGCCCGGGTCTCCGAGAGCCCTATTATAACGCTGTTGGACATGATATTTGTTATCTCCTCCGCTGTCAGGTGATAATGGTTTCGAGTTCCATGGACGTTCCAGAAAATAATGCTCATTGTTGTCGAAAGGAATCGGGGGTAATAGGTCTGCTTTGCTCAGGGCTCCCTGAGGTTCGGCTTGCTCTCCTGCTCGTGTTCCGGAGTGAAGATGAACTGGGTTTGCTGGTGCTATCTGAATTGCAGGGTAATTTCGACGGTCTGTTTTGCTGTACATCATTTCTTTCTTTGGTTTTGCTTTCTACTAAGCCCTTATCCTTTACCCAGATGAATTCCTTATTGTTGACTACGACTTTGTTATGTGATATGCGGACGTGGTGTCCCTTGTTTCGTTCGCATTGAGCAAATTGGTTAATTTGCGCCTGCTCCTGCTACTGCTTTTTTATGCGGTCGTGGAAGATTGATATTGGTTTGCCGGTCAGCTTTGTTTTGGCTTTCATTACTTTGTTTTTGTCTTCCATGTTGCCCAGGGTGGCTAGAATTGTTTGCCTCCTTGATGTTGTTTTGATTGTGACTACTTTGTCGACTTTAGCATCCACATTTAGTTCGTTAGTTAGCCAGTCTTTTAGGTTATCGCAAGATGATATTTCTTCGTCGATTCCACTGATTATTATGTTTTTGCTTCGTTCCCTTCTCTCTCTACTTTCTTCATTCTTTTCCAGTAGAGCTATTTTATTTTTCAGCAACTGATTTTCACTGATGCAGGCCAAGATATCAGATGAAAGTGCTTCGACCTTCTGTTTTAGGCTGTTTATTTCCTGTATAGCTGTCCTAGTATCATTGAGCTCCTTTCTCATCTCTGCTATTTCTTTTGTAAGGATCTCTAATTTCTTTACGATCGGCTCGGTGTTAGGTCGTGTTTGCTTTAGTTGGATTTTCTTTGTTTTGGTTTGTTTTTTTGGAGTTGAGATATTGTTTTCATTATTTTCGTCATTTTCATTTGTTTTTTCATCGCTATTTTTACTATTGTTGGGGAAAGGGGAGTTTCGGAGTCTCAGCATATTCCTCAAAGTTCGGATTGCAGGAAAAGCCTTGTCACTTTTTGTTTTCTTTGCAAGTTTGACTCCGCTACCTGGGATGGGGGACAAAATCCCAGTGGGGCGAAATCCCAGTCCAGAAATGAGGGAGGGGGAATACTGAAATAAGAAGAGGTGCCATCTAACGATCGGAGTGAAATATAGTATCGCCTTGTTACTGTAGATGGCGGATGAAATATTAAAAGAATGTTGAAATCAAACATTTTCGTCGTTTTGAAGCCTTTGAAAATCACGACACGATGAGAATGCTACCGGGAGCGCCCGGTATAATTTTTTTCTTTTCAAAGGAAATATTGTTCGAAAAGCAAATTCATTACAACAATAATACTCCGTGGCTATCGGATGCACTTGGGACAATTTTCATTAAAAAAAAATGTTTTGCAACCAACATTTTAAGGATATTATGGCGGGGTCCATAGCTGGAAAAAAAGCAGCGAATTCAATGAAAATTGCTGAACCGATTATTCGATCCATTTGAAAGCCGTGTGCAAAATGTCAAAACCCCTACTTAAACAATAATAATAGGAATAATTTTTGAAATTGCTACTTATACACGCAGTTGAATCGGGCATCGGTAATTTTTGTGAATTTCCTACGTTATCGATAGATCAATAACGTAGGAAAAGCACTTAAATTACCGATGCCCGATTCAACTGCGTGTATAAGTAGCAATTTCAAAAATTATTCCTATTATTATTGTTTAAGTAGGGGTCTTGACATTTTGCACACGGCTTTCAAATGGATAAAATAATCTGTTCAGCAATTTACATTGAATTCTCTGCTCTTTTTTCCAGCAATGGACCCCGCCATAATACCCTTAATGAATATAGTAGCAAGAGTTTACCGGGCGAGAAACCGTACAATTTTATTTTAAAAAAATATATTTTTTTTACAACAGATGCTTTCATAAGAATGCAAGCCAAAGTCTACCGGGTGGAACCGGTGGAATTTCCTGCCGAGGAAACATTATTCTTCCCATAAATTGTCAACAACAATCACATAGACAGTCTGCCGGGCGAAACCGGTAGTTTTATTTGAGAAAAATATCTTTTTTTGCAACAGATGCTTTCATAAGAATGCAAGCCAAAGTCTACCGGGCAAAACCGGTACTGTTTTATCTTAGAATAATATCGTTTTTTTTGCAACGAATACTCTCATAAAAATGTAAGCCACAGTCTACCGAATGGAACCGGTGGAATTTCCTGCCGAGGAAACATTATTCTTCCCATAAATTGTCAACAACAATGATCTAGACAGTCTACCGGGCGAAACCGGTACAGTTTTATTACAGAAAAAAATATATTTTTTGCATCTCATGTTTCCATAAGAATGAAAGCCACGGTCTACCGGGTGGAACTGGTACTTTTTTTCCGGGAAAACTTTATTTTCCCATGAATTTTCAAGAACAATAATACTGATAGTCTACCGGGCGGAGCCGGCTCTATTTTATTTTAGAAAAATATCTTTTTTTGCAACAGATACTTTCATAAGAAGGCAAGCCAAAGTCTACCGGGATTGAGATATTTGTTGTGGAACTCAAATTTCTCAGAGAGAATTGTACCGATTTCACAAGGTATACCGCGAATGTCTTTGTTTTCAAAAATATTTTCCCAAGAGAACATTGGTTCTCACCCAGTAGGTGATGTTATTCTTGTCGAAAATTTATTAAAATAATAATAATTCCTGGAGAAAAATCAAATTTCCTCGAGAGAATATGGTACGGTTTCCACCAGGTTCACTATGGCTTATTTTTTCATCAAGAAATTTGATGCGGATACTATATTTTTTCTACGAAAATTGTACCGGTCCGAACCCGGAAAACTGTCTACATTATTGTTGTTGACAACTTATGGGAAGAATAATGTTTCCTCGGCAGGAAATTCCACCGGTTCCACCCGGTAGACTGGCTTGCATTCTTATGAAAATATCTGTTGCAAAAAAAGATATTTTTCTAAAATAAAATAGTACCGGTTCCGCCCGGTAGACTATGGCTTTCATTCTTATGGAAGCATTTGTTACAAAAAAATATATTTTTCTAAAATAAAATAGTACCGGTTCCGCCCGATAGACTGTCAATATTATTGTTCTTGAAAATTCATGGGAAAATAATGTTTCCCCGAGAAAAAAGTACCGGTTCCACCCGGTAGACTGTGGCTTTCATTCTTATGGAAGCATTTGTTACAAAAAAAAATATTTTTCTAAAATAAAACTCTACCGGTTTCGCCCGGTAGACTGTCTAGATCATTGTTGTTGACAATTTATGGGAAGAATAATGTTTCCTCGGCAGGAAATACCACCGGTTCCATTGGGTAGACTGTGGCTTACATTTTTATGAAAGTATTCGTTGCAAAAAAAACAATATTATTCTAAGATAAAACTGTACCGATTTTGCCCGGTAGACTTTGGCTTGCATTCTTATGAAAGCATCTGTTGCAAAAAAAGATATTTATCTAAAATAAAATAGTACTGGTTCCGCCCGGTAAACTGTCAGTATTATTGTTCTTGAAAATTCATGGGAAAATAAAGTTTCCCCGGGAAAAAAAGTACCGGTTCCACCCGGTAGACTGTGACTTTCATTCTTACGGAAGCATTTGTTGCAAAAAAATATATTTTTCTAAAATAAAACTGTACCGGTTTCGCCCGGTAGACTGCCTATATAAATGTTGTCAAAAATTTGTTGCAAAACTATTATTTTCAAAGAAAAAAATTGTACCGGTTCTCGCCCGGTAAACTCTTGCTACTATGTTCATTAAAATGTTGGTTGCAAAACATTTTTTTAAAATGAAATTTGTCCCAAGTGCAACCGATAGCCACGGAGTATTATTGTTGTAATGAATTTGCTCTTCGAAAAATATTCCCTTTGAGAAGAAAAAAATTATACCGGGCGCTCCCGGTAGCATTCTCATCGTGTCGTGATTTTCAAAGGCTTCAAAATGAAGAAAATGTTTGATTTCAACATTCTTTTAATATTTCATACGCCATCTACAGTAACGAGGCGATACTATATTTCACTCCGATCGTTAGATGGCACCTCTTCTTATTTCAGTATTCCCCCTCCCTCATTTCCGGACTGGGATTTCGCCTCACTGGGATTTTGTCCCCCATCCGCTACCTGGTCCTCCCATGTTTAGGTTATGTGTGCTAGGCCTTTGAACCTAATGTCAACACGTCAACAGTAATTTGTCTGGCGATTTTCGCACAGTCTAACCTAGATAACATTCGAGACTTTCAATCAGTTATGCTCGGTAACCCTGTGTGCTGAGATGCTGTTTATTATTTAAGAAGCAGTAGAGAGATCACATTTACTTATTAACACTTCTCTAAAATTTATCTGTACACTTTTTCAATTATAAATTTCCTAAAAACTTAGGAGTTATTAACTTGCAAAACTGTGCTGTTTGGCGCCCTCTCGCCGACCTCCTTTGTTTTTATTTTTAATAGTTTTTCCTCTCTTTTGATTCATTTACTTTTTTTTTCTTTTCAATTTCAATTCTCTGATTTTCCCCCTCTCTCTTTTTCCCATTTCTTATTTTTTTCATCTTACATTTTCTTTTTGTTTTTTTTTATTGTGAATTATTGTGACGTTGTTATGCCCTTCATGTCGTCTATAGAATTTTGTCTAATTGATGATTGTTAAACATTTTCTGAAAAGGGCTTAAAATTACAGTTCAGAATGCGTCAGTTACCTGGCAAACAGACTGACACCAGCCGATATTCCCACGAACGGTATGTTTATCATCGAGATGGGAGAGACAGTGGAACAATTTTTCGCTGCGCAGTAAGAGATAAAAAGCGATGTAGTGTCCGAATTTACGTCATTTCGCTAGATGACCTTGAAAACCAGCCCATCATGATTTGCGGGTATCACACTCATACACCAGATCATCATTTACCTTTGCGCGAAAAATTCACTGCCGAAGTGCTGGAATTGGCATTAACATGGGAAGATCCGAAAGCTATCTTCGATCGTGTCAAAGCTAAGGAAGAGTAAACAATCTCCTTCAGTCTTACAATTTTTTAGTCGCAGACTACGTTTTCTGCATTCTTTCAAATCTGCCAACTCCAATTTGACATTTTTCAATACCAATTTCTGAAGGTATCGCCCCATTGCCGACGAATTACGATATTATCAAGAGTATAAACAAAAAATGGCGAAGGCGAGGAGAGACCATGTGCCGGGAACTCCAACGAGCTTGGTGGAATTCGGTGATATGTTAGAAGAGTACCCTCCTTTACGGCATTTGTACAAAGGGACTTTGCATGCAGCCGATTGATCATGTGGAGTTATCATGATGGCACGAAGACATGCGTGTGCCCTTGTCATCATGCAAGCAGTTATATGCTGATGGAACATTTAAAATATGAATTTATAAATATTCAAAATTTATTGTATTTTCAGACGCTTTAGCTATTCGCATTTGCATCATCACTGGTCAATTAGGTGACGAAGGGTTAACAAATAAAAATGAGGGTTATTAATCCTTGCCGTCGAAATGTAATAATAATTCGATAATCAATCCTCAGAGTATGGAGAGTTGGCTATGAAATTAAGGGCTGAGCATTATAACTAGTGGAAAGTAATAATGACTAAATGAGTAATTCCACATTGTCAAAGCACAGCACTGATATGTGAAATAAGGGTTGATCGTCGCGACTGCCGAAAGTGATGATGATAACGAAGCGAGTCATTCAATGCGCCAAATTACAGTCGCCAGCGAGGAATAAGGGCTGACCATAACATCCGCCGAATAGAGCAATTA